GCATCTTTCATTGGTTGAACTGGAAAGTTGGGCTCTGTAAAATCCACCACGACCCTCACCAGCATGACGGTGGGTTCGCAAAAATGAGGGGAATCTCCAACATCAGGAAACTTTTTGCCCATCCTGATTCTATCAGATGCTGGGACCTGCAGAAATTAGCTTACCTGGGAAAAGGGTCAGTGTGGATGGGACTGAGTGAGGATCTGAGAGGAGGGCGTCCTGGATCAGGGGGTCCCTGACCCCAACGACAGTGTCCTTATCGGGGACAGAAGAGGAGGGACACAGACACGGAGGGGACGCCACGTGGAGACGGAGGCAGAGATGGGAGGGAGGCGGCCACCCGCCCGGGGACGCCTGGAGCCCCCAGGAGCTGGACGGGGCAGGAGGGACCGTCCCCTGGGGCCTCCGGAGGGAGCGTGGCCCTGGGACAGCTTGATGGTGGCAGACCCCTCGTCTCCAGACTGTGAAAACATAAATTCCTGTTGCTATGGTAATTTGATACAACAGCACAGGACATGATACATCAGGTGATGCTGCCACCAAGGGTCCTGTCTCCCTGAAACGATGAGAGCAGGTTGTGGAGCCAATGACAACACTACCACCATCTCTGTGTGTCCCCATCCCATTCCAGCACCCAGCAGCGTGCCCGGATCGTGACGAACACACCATGCCTACCTCCCAAGGGACCATCAGCCAGCTGTCACCTTGACACACGTTTTGCCTTTCAGGAAAATGGCACCTGGGTCTCAACTGTGACTCCTCCGACGACCACTGTCACCACCCGCACCAGCATGGGTTCGACCATTTCTACGGCATGCCGTTCACCATGCTGGCAGATTGTCTGCACTGGGAGATGTCCGAGAAGCGTGCAGGCGTGCAGCGCAAGCTCAACGTGTGCGTTCAGGTCCTGGCCTTGGCCGCCCTCACGCTCGCCGCTGGGAAACTCGCCCGCCTGCTGTCCGTCTCGTGGACACCGGCCGTCTGGTTGGCCGCNTTTTTTTACTTTCTGTCTGCGTTTGTGTGTGTATTAGGTCTGGAACAGATTGCTTTAGTCGCTAGGAAAAAATCAAAACTAAAAAGAAACAAAATTCCCCACAGGGTAAAAAAAACAACAAAAACATAGTGAATGTGCTTTGGGAACAGGACCAAATGTAGTGGTGAGTTCTGGCTAGCTGCCCTGGGTCTGGAAGGCAGTTAGGACCGAGACAATTTCTTCTTTCCTGCAGGGGAGGCGAAGGCAAAATGAAGGGTTCTGCTCCATTGAAGCGCTTTCCTTTCTCTTTTTCTGTATTGTTTTTTGGGTTTTTTTTTAAGTCACTTTAGTTTTATTTTTTAATGATTTTTGTTTCATTTTTCAAATTCAGTTGACCTACAATATTATACCAGTTTCAGGTGTACAGCACAGTGGTTAGGCATTTATATAACTTACGAAGTGATCCCCCGATAACCCTACTCCCCACCTGACACCATCCAGAGTTATTACAATATTATTGACTCTACATCCCTGTGCGTCTTTTGTAACTGCCAGTCTGTATTTCCTAATCCCCTCCCCTTTCTCACCCAGCCCCCAAACCCCCTTCCCATCTAGCAGCCATCCGTTTGTTCTCTGTACCTATGAGTTTATTTCTGTTTTGTTTGTTTATTTTGTTTGTCTGTCTCTATCTGGCGTATCTCACTCAGCACAATGCCCTCCAGGTCCATCCTTGTTGTCACAAATGGCAGAATTTCCTTCTTTTATCAAGTTTTACAAGAAACGTTCAAAGGACTTCTTTAAGAAGAAGAAGGAAAAAAGATCAAACTATGAATACTAACATGGCAACAACGACACAGCTATTAACAATTACTTCAAATGGAATTGGATTAAAGGCTCCAGTCAAAAGACAGGGCAGCCGAATGGATAAGAACGGTACACAAGCTGCCTGCAAGAGACTCATTTCAGATTGAAGGACACACACAGGCTGAAAGTAAAGGGATTTCATAAAAATGGAAACAAAAAACAAAAAGCTGGGGAAGCAATGCTTACACCAGACAAAACAGGCTAAAACAAAAGCTACACCAAGAGACAAAGAAGGACCCAGGAATCCCACTTCTAGGTATTTATCTGAACAAACCCAAAATGCCACTTCGAGGGGACGTGTGCATCCATGTGTGCATTGCAGCATGTTTACTATGGCCAGGATGTGGAGGCAGCCTGGGTGTCTGTCCACGTACCTTTTCTTAATTGAGATAGAATTGGCAGAGAACGTCGTACACGTTTGATGATACAAAATGTTTCTTGGATGCATTCTTTTGTTTCCCAAGCTGATTGCAACAGCAGCTTCTGCAAACACCTTTATCGCATCGGCAGGCTTACTGTTTATTTTGGGTGCGTGCGCTGACAACTAGTAACATCTCCTCTTTTAGCAAGTCTGAGGCTGACAATACAGAGCGATTGACTGCTACCTCTAGGCTGTGCATTAGATCTGCAGAGCGTATTCATCTTCTAGTTGCACGTTTGCACCCTGAAACAGCATCTCCCCAATTCTCCCATCAACCCAGCCCCACCCCCCACCCCAAGCTTCTGGGAGCCACCGTTCTACCCTCTGCTCTTTTTCTGTATTTTTCTAATGGAACGTTTTACCTGGTACCAACCAGCCGATATGAAACAAAGCACGCTGCATTGTGAGACATACAGTGCAGACCCCATTGGATGGTTAAGATGGGCTCCGTTGGGGGCAGCCAGATAAGTAGAATGTACCATTTAAGAGGCAGGCCAATGATGTGACGGAATTAAACCTCACATGGCTTTTCCACCACGATGGCATGTCTTATACGGAGACACAACTCTAACCCGAACGAAGGAACACATATCACCAACTGCCTTCCCCAGAAAATCAGGAACAGCCCATGGTGTGCTTTTCCTGAAAAAAAAAATTTTAAATTAAAAATTAAAATAGATACCAAAGAAAACTCATACCTACCTGATCATAGATTATAGATTTATAGAGACTTATATAACACATGTGTCCTATGTATTATACGATGTATAACATACTATACCCTACGTAAATATACAGAAATAAAGATATTCATACAGACGCCTTAAGAGGTCATGATTTAAGATTCGTAGCCCCCCCCCAAACATCGCAAAAGGGAACCAGTGGAAGATCGGGTGGGTTCGGGGTGTGAACTGGGGGTGAGCCCAGCTGCCGTGTCCGCTGCCCGTTTTACAACATGCCACCCGAACCGTCCACCTGTGGAAAGAAGTCGCTGGAGAACTGTGGCCCATGACCTAGCCGCCATCGCAGAGGCGGGCTGCTTTCATGCCCAGCACGTCCGCTGTCGGGTTCCAACTCGAGGACACTGTGGAAGCGGCACAAGTATGTCAACAGCAAAAGGACCCGTGGCCGTCGGGCTTAGGAAGAACAGGCAGAGCCCGGAGAACGTTACGGCCGTGACCCTCCTGGGGGTGACACCCACGTGGACACTCTTCACTGTCCGCTGGCCCAAACCCACAGGACGCGCGACACCAACACGAACCCCGATGTCACCTGTGGCCTGGGGACGGATGATGCACGAAGCATGCATGGAGAGCCACCATCACGGTGCATTAAACCACCCACGGGCACATCTCCCTCCAGGAGCGAAAACTGGGCTCCACCCTGGATGACTGGCCCCTCGCGAACATGCTTCCTCGAAAGGCGTAAAGTGACGTGTCAGCCCGGGCTGTGTCCCTAGAC